ATATCGACAACAGTTTTTTATGCTATTTTGTTATTATTGCATTTTGATTTCTTCTCCCATTCGAGTTCAAAATAAAACGGTCAAATGCATCATTCAACGAGCAGTAGGTAAACAATTAGCCGCACAACATGCAGATATTAGAGGCAAATAAGACGATGATTCTTTTTCTGATCGGGTTGACAAGCGTGTGCGTGTGGGTATTAGTTTGTATTGCCTTTACATTAACATTCACCTACACCCAGAACGAGTTTTAAACTTTTCAAAAATGACATTTTGAGTTTTTTAACCAAGAAATTTTTTCAAAAAATATCAATGACAAAACGTTTTATGCAGAATTTTTTACTTTTGCAGCTATAAGGACAATTTATAGACTCTTACACAGTTGCTAACTCACTGTGCCCGTTGAGCTTCCATATAGATGTATCGATTTCGTTCTGGTGTATAACGACTAGTTAAAAATACAAGACTGAGACTAATAAAAATTAAATCAGCCTGATCATGTTAGGCGTCTCAAAAATAATGGAGAAAAAACTGTGCTTCAGTGTTATCAAAAACGTTAAAACGTTACGTTTTGGTTGTTGCATTATTTTATCTAAGCAAAAATGGTTTAGAGAAAACATTTTTAATGTTAAAAGCTCGGATAAAGCGCTACAAACCTAGCTCTAGACGTGTTTCATTTGGAGAAATAGTTTCAGAAGAGGTTGCAGTTTATTAGTGGTCCTAAAGAAATAGGGTCTTTTTGGATAACAGCATCAAGCAATTAAAAATCCTCGTTACCAGCTTGAGGCTTTATCAGAAAATAGTCATTTTTATAGTGTACACATAACACGACAAGTTGCATCAAATGATGTTCGAACGAACTTTCTAACTCTCACAGCTTCCGAGATAATACTTTGTTTGAAAATCTTTTACTTAAAATGGCCATTTATTCTCATTTAATTCTTTTGATAGTTGGAAACGGAATTGTACTTAAATAGATTCCCTGTAAACCATTCGAGGACTATAAAAGAATCACTAGATATCGGATCGATTTGTTTACAAAAACATTAAAATTTTACTTAAAAAGCCTTTTTTTTGGCAATATTCCACTTTTTTCCCGTTTTTATAGAAAATATAGGACGAATCCGAGACTAAGATAAGACGGTGCGAGTGGTTCGGCTCTGAATCTTACACTCTAAGACGCTAAGCCATTTCGAACCGAACTTATACTCGTTCATTATCAAGTATGTTCAGATCTATCACTACAAGTCAACTAAATTTTTTCGAATTATAAATGCTCATTGAAGTCTTTTTCAAAAGACTAACAAGTCGATAAAATATCGGTCTCTCGTCAAACCTCTGCATTACATTAGATATGAGAAAATGAGGAACAAATCTTCAACAAAAATTATCAAATTCGAATAAAATTAATACAATATCTAGGGTGTAGGCTGTGCGTGTTAGTTGTGTCGTTGCCCATAGCTAAACTGAAACTCACACCCACACCCACCCACACCCCTATGACAGCCTCGAATTCGATTTATAAAATTTATATTTAGGACAAATTTTCTCTTTTGCTGTTTCGTTCAACTATATGAGTGTCGAATTTTTTATTTTCGAATCGAATTTGTGTAGTTGAACCTTCATTTATATTCGAATTCGAATTAAGCATCTCATGCAAATCTCTGTTCGTTTAACTGCAACTTTAAACTTAAAGTTAAAGTACATTAACTTAAATATTAAAGTATAAAAGCTTAGTGTTTTAGTATAATTAAAGTTTAAAGTGTTTTAACTTTAATACTCTTTTTAAGTGTTTTCAAGTTAAACTGCCACTCCTACTATTAGCTTAAGAATACAAGACAATATCGACCATAAAATCACAAAAAAGAAATATATTGGATTATTTAAGTTTCGAAAAAACATTTATATTTAGCTGCTGTGAAATTTTACCATTCCAACAGTCGAATCGTCAAAGTTAAACTGTACCTACATTTACCATCTTTAAATATTTCATCTGTACAACTCGTGAGCTTATCCTTTTTTATTCTTTACGGAACCGGACTATGAATAGAAACTTTTTGGATGTCAATGAATTCAAGACACGAATCGAATAGGCACAGCTGCAGCATAATGAATAATAATAACCCACACACTATCCGAAGAAGTTCACTTCTTCTTTTCAAGATTACATGATCAATAGAAAAAATAATAAGACAAGTTGATATCATCAACATATCTTTTATGAAGGTATTTGTTTTACATATAAAGATACATCGACAATCAGTTTCATTTTTCATTGTATTTCGCCGTCAATATTGCTCATAGAGTATATAATAACGTAGTATAATCTATCCGTTGCTCTCTCATTTGATACATTCTTTCCACATAGTCGATTGAACTGTCTGGCTATTATCATCTTTTATACAAATGAACATTCATACACATTTCGAAGATTTATCAAATGAGATTTTCTTCGAAATATTTGATTATTTACATGCACTTGATGTTTTTACTGCGTTTGCTTCATTGAATGAACGATTTTTGTCTATTCTACAATCCATTCCATTCCATATTAGCATTTTAAACACATATTATGACTGAGACATTGCTTTTCTTTCATCACATCTCACTTTTCATGCTCATCAAGTCCTATCACTAAAATGTTATGATACAATTCGTGATCGTTCATCTATTATTAGTTTACTATTTCAACGACATAATTTTATTAATCTTCAATCATGTCAATTTATTTCAGTTAATCCATCAACTGAACTTGATAATGTTATTAAACAAGTTGAAAGTTTGAATAGACTTGTTTCTTTTTCTATCATACAACCATCGACTGTAAATACCAATGAGAAAAACCAATCGGATATAACTCGAACTGTATTCATGAGCAAATCATCTTCTCTTCGTTCAGTTATGCTTCGTTATAATTATGCTTACTTGGACTTGTCAACTTATACTTCAATTGCTCCGAATCTTATATCACTTGATTTGTTAATATCTGGCTCACCGAATACAGTATCAGTATATTCAATCTTGCCAATTCTTCGTGTTTGTCATAGAATACGATATCTCCATGCCATCATAAAACATGAAATTCCATCTGAAAATAATAATGTAAAGTAAGTTGCATTGATAATGTCCGACGAATATTCTGTATAAAACAAGATTTAAAATATAATCTTTCCTTTTTCTTTTCCTTTAGTATTTCAATTCAAGAAGCATTTATTAATGAAAATGATCTTCCTATATCACCACAAGTGACATCCTTCGATTTATCGATTTTTACTACGTGTGACACTCGTTCAATCGCTTATATCTTACGTTGTTTGCCTAATCTTCTTCATTTTAAGTTTTTTCATGAATCGCCAGAAGTAGTCTAGCCATGTGCTTATGATTTGGCCAATGGTTATACATGGCAACATATGTTTGAAATGCATGTTCCATTCTTATCTAAATTTGATTTTCATATCTCAATTTTGAAAGAACATCCAAAATTAGATTTAGATGTGGTCGTAAATTCATTTCAATATTTCGTTCAGAAATATCCCGAATGGCAAATGATTATAGATCGATGGGGACCTGATGCCAAAAATCCTTGTAAGTAAAATTGCTTTAAATTGGAAAGTAAGAATACAGAAAACCCATCGTCAAATAGGAATGGAATCAGCAGATGAATTTCATTGTATGTTCTGCTTTTATCTTATTAAAGACGGTGTACAGAAATAAGAAAGTAACCAAAAGATGAAAACAACTTCAGATTGAGGCTCTAGTGGAGAAGCCATGGTACGAATCGTCGCTCAATAGGAGTGTGCATTCATGAGATATTTACCAAAAAAAGAATAAGAAAAATATTTAAAATCGACTTTGTTAGGATGAGGTAAGGAATATTCATAAAATATCAAAAGCAATGCAAAGAAAACCAATTATTTGACAATGATGACGCAAACGTTGAATCTATGCGAATCTGTTTATCCGGAAACTAATTCATTTGAACATAAAGGTTTTTTTCTCTTAGAGTGGAGTATGCTATGTTACGTACGATTGGTTATCATAAATACAAAAGAAATCTACAAATAAATATTCCACTTATTAGTTATGAATTATTTGAGACACGATCGACAAGAACAACAACGACAACAACAAATGATCATTATCTTTATTATTCGGACATAAAAATTTTAAAATTGAATATGACAAAGATAACACCAAAAACTACTCGTTCTTTCCCTTTATTTCAACATATCAATTCTCTTGTCATAGA